CACTCAGTGCACTTCTGACTCAGAAGCAGAGGCGCACGGCCTTATCACTTTATTCATCTCCCCTTTGTACTTCCCACAAATAATATGGCCACTTTCTTCATTCTCAAGCAGGATTCTGAATGAAGAACATAGGGAATAATGAGGTTGGGCACTGAGGCAATGTTGGAATGACTCACCTTTGATGACAAAAAGGAAGAGGGGAATTCATAGAATGTGGAGAGGAGAAAGGAATGATAATAATGCTTATTATTTAGAGTATGTATTTACCTTTAGTCAGGTATTATGCTTAAGCCTTTGATTTCTCATTCAACCCAATCCTTCAACAATGCTATAGAGTAATTTTTACTGTTATCCTTTATCTGATAAAGCTTTTAAAAAATAGAAAATGTTTCTAAAATAACACAGTCAGAAAGCACTGAGCTGAAATTTGAAACTAGTTCTATCTGGATTCAAAGTCCAAATGCTTAATAAGTAAATTATATTGCCTGGCCACAAAAGCTTATGGTTGGAACACCAAAAAGACAGAGAATTAAAGTTATAGGTGACTAAAATTAATTATCTGGGTGGCCAAACAGACCTACTCTTCATTTGGTGAGCAAAAAGGTGGCACTGAGGTGGCCACTTGGCAAATGACACCAGTCTGCCATCTGCTTAGGCTGTGGGCTGTTTGTCCTCCCCAGGCAAGCTTTCCTCTAACCTGCGACAGTGTACTTCTGGATCTGGAATGGGGCAGCCTCCACTCCTGTAGAGAGCTGAAGGGCAGAAGCCCAAGTGGAGCTCAGGGGCAGAGGCAGGGACTTAGAACTGTCCTCATTCTCCCACACAACCAGCAGTTTGGAGATTTCTAGGTCAGAGTTAATATGTAATCACACCAACGCTTCCTGAAAGAAAACATTTAACAGTGTAAGCTTCTTACATTATTGTACTAAGCTTTTTTTTTTTACAATTCTAGGACAACTATGTGTTTCAGAAACATGCATCGGGGAAGGGTACTGTAGGATATCACAGCAAGAAGAGGCTCTTTCTTCACACAGATGAGGAGCTAAGGGGCTGGGAAGACTTTTAGAGTCACAGCCTTGTGGTTTATGCTCCATCTTGTTTACTGAGAGATGACACTGGCCAAGATACCAGGTCATTTTCTTTCTTCTAAAACAATGCTCACCTTTCTGAAGTATTGAAATGAAGTGCTGTCATGCATGCAAAGTGCCAGAGAAATTTGTGTAAGAAGTAGGCACCCAACAAATGATAACACCATTCTCTGAGCAACGCCACTTAGCTGTTAAGAGCAGTTAAGACCAAAATCTTGTATTCAGAGTCTGTGTGTGTGTGTGTGTGTGTGTGTGTGTACGTGTGTGTATGTGTGTACTACAGAAACAGTGTCATATCTACATCAGCAGAATAATGTGGTTTTCAACACTTCACAATTGTGTAGTTCAAATCACTCAATTAGATTTTGCAAGAAATCCATAAAAAATGAATACCCACTTCAGGAAAAGAAAAACTTGTATAATTATTTAAATACTAAATTTATTGCAACAGCATGAGAGTAATGCAAGTTATCTATGACCTCTACAGTTGTAAGAGATGCTCAAAGTGGTGGCCAGTAGCTTCCACTATTTATTCATTAGTATGGTGAACTGCTGCTCAGGTAACCTTGGTCATTGAGATTGCTAAACATGCATGTTGAATTTCTTCTCTAAAGGCCAGAACTATAGTTGGTTTTCTGTGATGCATGACACTATTAGGGTCCTTTATATGAGGATAACACCATCTACTGAAAACCTCATACTATTTTTCTTTTCCTGAATGGTGTATACATTTTTGGGGCAGACTCTATAGTTTGACCAATGCAACAGCACAGAAAAATTGGGCAGGAATGATTATTACTAGGCTCACTTTTCCTTCCACATCAAGGTAGGGAGGTGGGAGGAAGTGACTTTCTTCAGTCCTGTGGCTAATCAGGGGCAGACCTTGTTCCAGCGTCTAGACCTCATGCTTCTTCATCTGGGTTTGCTTTTTTTTCTCTAGTACACAATGCTGTCCCACCTAAAGGTCAACACTTTTACCAAAGAGATAAGGATTAGTGAAAGAAATATTAGACTGAGGGTCATAAATGACATAAGTACCCAACAAGCTGATTAGATAGTGAGGGGTAAATTGGACTTTGAGATGATTGAGCAAAAGGCAAAGAGAAAACACCAACTGGGTGGTAAATAACCCAATACCAGGGGGCATGGGAACATGAGAACTGCTGGCCTCTGAAGACCACAGTGTAACTTTTTCCTGTTAGACAAATACTGGCCCCTCAGTAATTCTGAAATTCTTTCCTAATCACTCCACTTCTTCTTCACATTTCCTTAGGTTCGAGAAACCTGAAATTCTTGGTGGATTCTTGATGAAAGAAAACCTCAAATTCTTAATAGTAATAACCTCTGATTTGAGGGTCTTGGAAACACTTCAACCACTAAACTGCTTTAATGACAGTACAATGAAGGAAATATGTGCATCATGGGTTGGAAAAATATTTTTAAATTCCAACCACGATTCTTCAATTGCATTACGTAGATGTGGCTCCTATTTATGGAAGTTCCTTCTCCATTTTAAGCCTTAGTTTACTAGCTAGTATCAGGGAAATGATATGTTTAGCCCTTAAACAGAAATGTTCTTAAACTCATTTGCTTGACATACTTGATTTTACAGAGACACTCTATCTAGTCTTCTTAAATGTAGAGTTCGGATTGCTTAGTAACAGAGAAAATTTGCTGTGAAGAAAAGTAAACCAAAACCTAGTTCCTCCATTCCCATATTTCTCCAAGCTTATTTTGGGCTTAAAAACCATTTATACCCTCTGATTCTGAGCTTTAAAAAAATTGAATTGTATGGTGTCTTCATGACCAAAATAATGATTACTGATGTCAAAGTCTTCAAATCATCTCAACCACCAAAGTCCGTGGCAACATAATAAGGAAATCCTGTATCACAGAGTATGAAAATTACTGTTAAAATTCCAGCCCCAATACTCAAGCGGCATTATGTAGATGTGGACTCTTTTTTTTTTAAATCAAAGTTCTTTCTCCATAATGTCACAAATTCTTAAGTGTGTATAACTTCATAACACATGAGGTTTTACCTGCATATATAAGTTTGTTTGGAGACTCACACTTCATGCTGCACGTGAACACATTTAACGTATAGCCTGTTGATTGACTTACATACACATTCAAACCAGAAGTATTTGGAATGAGGCAGAAAGTGGAGAATAAAAGGGCTGTTTGGGGAGGAGTCGATAGTAATTCTCATTCGTGATATCACCACGTTGTCTCTTAAAATGCACATATTTAGAGACCTCTAAGTTAGAATTATACATTCAGACCCAGCTACATTATAAAAATCTACTCTGTGCCACACTTTTCATCATGTTATTTCAGTCATGCTTCTTAAATCATTTTCTGATGGAATCATTACTAACCCATTTCACAGATGGTGAAACTCTGGTTCCAGAAAGGTGAAATTCTCCAGAGTTTCACAGATTCAAAGAACAATATCAAGTTTCTACATGTCATGATATGTAGAACACTTTGACAATTTTACAAGATTAGGAGACTTTTAAAAACATGAAATCCCTGAGCACACCAAGCTATAGCAGCACCATGCTAGCAGTGTGTTTGAGCCAGGAGTTGCTCTTTCTCTAAGAAAAGGCCTACAGTTTTGCTTTTCTAAATTTTGAGTTTCATTTGCTCCTCAAACCCTGGATGTGGGCAAATGCTGATGTTGCAGGGACAGCAGCTGGTGGTACTGTGCAGGGCAGTGTCTTCCCACTCCACTGGCACTCCTGGCCAGGGTGCTGTTCACGTGAAACAAGGCCCAGCATAACCAAGGACACCAGGCTCTGCCGACGTAAGTCATTCCTCTCTGATTAATGCAGGTTTCATGTCCAAGGTTATAAACCGCTGAGAGAAGGGGACGGAAGGAGCTATTCTGTGCTGCTCATGGTTATCACAATGTAAACAGATCTTCTTTGGATCGTTGACTTGGAGCACGTCAGACTCTCCATGTACCTGTCCAGCAACTGTGGACATTTACTGCCCTCTTTGAAACAGTTTCTATATACTTATAATAGGGGCAAGGTGCTGAGGTTGAAGATTATATATAAAATGAGACAGATGCATCACAGAGTCTCAGAAAGAAAGATGGATGTTGCTGTTATTGTTATAGTAAAAATAACTAGTACTAGCAGCATCTGTTAGCAGGTGGAATGTTGGAGACACGGCTTTGACCACTCCAGCTGTGCCCCCCAGTGGATATCACTGCTGTCCGTCTCCAGTCTTTCATCATTTCCTGCCACTTCTGCTTCCATTCTCTTTTAATAAAACTCATATATGATGAGACCTCACATGTCTGCAGATTAGGGACTGACTACTAATGAAACATTGAAACACTGAAAATAAATAATAAGTATCGAAGATGATAATAATTAAAGGTAACTAGCTGAAGATAAAGAAAATATAGCATTGCTTGACCACTTGGAAATGTTTCTTGAGTGCCTACTCCATACATTATGGGCATTTTAAAAGGCTTAGTGCTTCTGTGAAGGTGGGATTTCACTTTACAGAAGAAAAGAAATTAAGGTTTAGGATAGTACAAAAATAAAATAATATAAAATAAAACACTTTTGACCAAAGTCATACATTTATTAAGTTCTAGAGCTAACATTCTTGACAAATCCCTGAGCCCAGTCATTCACTAGCTGCATAATTTAGGGACTTATAATCTGCTGTGGCCCAGTTTCCCTACCTTCTAAGTCTGAATTAGGAACTAGATAATCAAAAGACAACCTTTGTAGTTTTACATTGTATAAGCATGAGGAGTATGTGAACACGATTATAAGGACTGGTTGTGTAACAGCCAATCAGAAGTGGTGAATAAACACTTCCCTACCCTGCCAAGGTAGGGAGGGGAGGGAAAAAAAAGGAAAAAAAATTAATGAGACATCTATAAAAACTGTGTGTTCCCAAAGATCTGTCCTAGTTGGCAGCTGCTGCCTCACCCAAAGCTTCAAAGTCTAAGAGGACTCTTGTCTCTCAGAGTAAGTAAATAATTTCCTTCAAATAGTTGGTCTATACAGTGAATAAGGGGTGAATGGTTGTATTAAACTGTAGAGGAGAATGTTTGCTTGACTTTATTAAAAAAAATCTTTGGTGATGGCTGAAAACAGGACGGGTCTACTGAAGTGATTTTTTTTCTCTCTCTCTCTCTAAGCATAATACTATTCATACTTTTCCTGAAGGAGGCAGAGTGAGTGCCCCAGGTAGATTGCTAGTTACCAGCATTGATTTTAAGTCTATGATCTAGGAAGAATGGCTTGAACACTTCTACATTATTAGACTCTCATCAGGTTTTGAGATTTCTGATCTTTCTACTCTTACTTTTCAAAACAAGCTCTTTGTGCAATGATTTACTTGCATATCATCTTATGTCATTTGCTTTTTTTTATTCTTTTCTTTCTTTTTTTATTTGATGAGAGGGATCAAACTCCGGACTTCAGACTTGCCATGCAGGCACTTATGCCCCTGAACTATCTCCCCCCACTCTGTGTCTCCCCACCCTTTTGTACATTCTCTTCCCACGCCTACTGACATTAACACTGAAGTCTCTTTGTTACAGAAGTAAACACTTCAAATATTTTACCTTTGCCTTCACCCACTGGTCAAATAAGGAAATGGGACAGGATTGGAAACTTCAGAGGCCCTAGTTGTCATGTGATTATGAATTTTCAAACCCTCCACTTGCTGGAAGCTTTCTACAATTCCTACTTCACAGGTGTCCTGTGAAATCCCACAGCTTTAGACATCAAAACTCAAAAGTAGCGATTTATTTTGGTACATGTGCTCTACTACCTGAAAACAAGTCATGTCATGAGAATATGTTGCTTTCTTTGGTGCACTTTTCTTTAAACAGTACCTTGTGCTCCATTAGCCAGTTTGGATGCAGCAGGGGCTTAACCTTAGCTTCTATGCCACTCTCTACCATTTGGGGAAGCACACCTAGGGAACAGGCCAAGATCAGAGTCAGAGGGACCAGGGCAGGGGAAGAAAGAGGCTGTAGTTTCTAATGCTTAAGTCTTCTTTTATCTTTAGGTGTCATCTTAGAGGAAAAAGCCATCCTCAGGTAGAGACCTCTGGCTGCTCCACATTAGAAGGCTCTAGGAATCAGGCTACCCTCAGGCTGCCCTAGATTGTCTCGCTGCACTTGTTTCTTTGCACTGTGGTGGGGAACAAAGATGTGGACGTCTTCATTCATCTGTACATGAGGGTGCTGTATACGATGCTTGGCAAGCATAGGCTTTCAATGAATCACACCTCCCAAAGTTATCTTCCTGAAAATCCACTTGCCTTGTATGTGAAAAAACAAATGGACTCTGTTGCTTAATATTTCCCTGAAAAGGGCCAGTGGATAGCTCAGCAGACTAAGTGCCTGCTTAGGCAAGGCAGGGACCACAGGGACCAGGGTTGGATCCCTAGCACCACATGCCATGCCAGCCCCACCCTAGAGTGCACTGTGCCAGCCACTGAGTCCAGGCATTGTGGCACATTCTTGTAATCTCAGCACTGGGGAAGCTGACAACAGGAATATCACTATGAGTCCAGACTGCGTAGTGAGGCCCTGTACCAAATGCATTAAAAAAAAATTTCCCTGAGAATTAAATATCTGTATTTTACAAATGACTTTTCCCAGCACCTCTTTAAGCAAAGTAGAATGAGGCACTCTGGAGGATGTTTGTCAGCCATTTGCCTGAAGAACTAGCAATAAGATTTTAAATCACAAGGAAGCAGGATGTGACTTCTAGTCCCAGTGCATTGTAACTTGGAAAGGGTATCAGACATGGTCTTCCTAGGCCTCGGTTTTCTCATCTTTGGTGGCAGAACTGATACAAGTATCTCAGAACTATATTTTCCTCTATTGTCTACTTATATATATTAATATTTATAAGCCTTTCACAAGATTTACACATATATTTCTTGATAAATACATATACTTATTAAGAAATTAAACATTGCAAACAATATATAAAGTGAAATATGAGGGTCTCTTGACCATCTCATTCCTCAAGGTTTGTTGCTATACTTTCTTTAAATTAAAAATTAAGGTGACGATGTATATTGCACAGTGTCTGATACTCTTCTTTTTGCTTTCATCACAATTTATGTTGTAATGTAATAATAATAATGTGAACATCTTTTCATCCCAATTTTTTAAAAAGTTGGTTTGAAATTCAGTGATCAGAGGCTTAAGTTACAAAGAAACCATTGTCTACCATTATCCACTCCAGCCTAGCCTCTTGTCTCCTGTGGTGAACATTGACCAGTGACCCTGCTTTATGATTAACAGAGGGGCAACATTTGTGCTGATATGGATAGAGACCTTTAATCCTTCCATAGGAGTTTAACCTGTAAACAGGACTAGCTTAACTTGACTTTTCTCTGTTATTCTGCTTGAGTCAGCATACCTAGAATAAAGAAAATAGCTTGGGAATAAATAGAAAAACAGAAATCCTTTAGATGACTATGGCTTAAAAGATTAAAAGGGAGAAATAATAATTTGCATTTACATTGTTTTATAAAGCCTCTTCATGTTTATCATGCAATTCAACAAATATATTTTTGAAGAACTACAATGAAAAACATGTTCACAGGTTGTACTTGAGTCACTTGGCAATATGACAACCATATCAGATATCATCGCCATTTAATTCATAGTAAACTAAGACTCAGAGAAGTTACATGATTTGGGGAAATGTCCAGCCAGCAGTAGCAGAAATAGTCCTTGAGTCCAGGGCTGTCTAATCTCCCAGCAGAAAGTCTCTATCAGAATGTGTCAGATACTTTGAATTGGTAATGTCTGTGGTGTAATGATTTACAGTTTAAGCGACTCTGGGTTTGTCATCAAGGACCTTATGAATACTTCTTTTACCAAGGTCATCCTGTTTCTGGAATAAAAGGGAGTGTAACCCTGTCTTTCAACATTGAGTCTTATTAGAGATGCATCTTCAGACAAATAATTTAAGTTATCTTATAGTCTTTCCTAATCTATTAAGAAAAAGGGGCAAACAGCTCAATTGATTTCTGACATTACTGTGAGGACTAAATTATATGATACAGATGTAGCAATTAGAAGGACAATAAATGATAATTGTTATTACTATTGGCCTATTTTTACTTATGTTTCATTAAGAAAAAAATCTTTATTTTAGCTAATTTTCAACTCCTTTGTGCAAATACCAAAGCTGAGGGGGGAAATTTTCCACCTTTGACAGAAGGTTACCCTCCCCAGATTGGCATTTGTCAGTGTGGTGATTTGGAGTCCAAGTCCAAAGAGTAAAATCTCTGATTTTAAGCTGAGTGGCCATGTATAAACAGCAAAACACAATCTGTTTGTGGCTGATATGTGACAGAGCTGTGGAAGATCATCTTCTCTAGGAATTGGTAGCCACTAGCTCTTCCTAATGTCCCAGTGGCAGAATTACGGTTCCATTCTTTTGAGCCAAAGCAAGAACTTAATGAGGGTAATGAATGAAGATAGAATCCATGCAGAGGGGGCTGGAAATCCTTGCAGAGTGCAGCTAGCAAAGGGATTACTATCTTCCAGATCTTCAAACACATATATACATGCCATGGTTCTACTCTGGTTAGTAAAGGATTCTTGGAGGAAAAACAAACAAACAAACAAACAAACAAACAAAACAAAACCCCAAAAAACAAAGATAGCACTTGCCATAATTACCTCATTGCTGCGATGATCAGATGAGAACTGAGGTATTCCAGTACTTCTAAAAGAGTATGGAAGACATAGGACATTCTGTGATTCATTTGAGTCACTTGCCAATGAGACAATCAATACAATTAACATTTACTTCATACTAATCTAAAAATGCATACACAGGGCATCTCCTCTGTACTGAAAATACTAGGGGAGGAGCTTAGTGAAAAGAGAACACCACAGGGTTGGATGAGAAACCACTCAAAATAGTTTTCACTACTATTTTTTCACTACTATTTTTCCTTTGATAGATCAACCTATGCACAAACCATTCAGAGACCAAAATTTGCCAACCAAACAATGCTCCCCTTTAGAAGATCATTTCTGAGGAGGATGCTTGGGTAGAGAATCCTTGAGCTAGTCTCTCCTCACTAAAGCAGTCAAGCAGAGAATTATTGCAGCAGGAACTGCCAGGCAACATCATCATCCGCAGAGACCAGGAGAACCTTCCTTTCAGAGGAACTTAGGAAAAGTCTTGATCTGTTCTCCATGGTCTCAGATGGTTGACTATAAGAAAAACAAGGCTTGTACACCATCCCTGTTGGCCCCAAACCAAAGGGAGGTAAATCTTAAAATCAAGGATGGATCTTCCTCTTAAGTTTATTGCCTAAAGAATATCTGCTGGGACTACAGGTTAACAGAACAAAGTATGAGATAACCCAGAGGCTGTAAGCCTCAGTCCTGATCTCAAGGTATCCAGGATATCACATGGAGCCAAGAATTCAAACAACAGAGAAATATTACATCACTAAAATTTGTGGTAGGTCACTAATTATCTGGTTTGGCTTCAACATCAATGACATCTACTATCTCGAAATAATTATTTTTAGAGTCCACAAACATTTGGCACCTCACCTTGATCCACTACAAGTAATTGCAACTAGGTGGAGAAAAATATAAGATACTATTTATTTATCCAGTAGCTAAAAGGGGCTAGAAGTTTCAGAGCAGCCTCTGACACCTCATCTACCTAACCTTATTACATTAGTCATGAATCTGTCAGAGCCAACCACATCTCTATGCAAGGTTCTCCGGTATCTTTTCTCAGACCTATCACCATGGCTCATCGATTTCCAGCCCTCACCCCAGAACAGAAGAAGGAACTCTCAGAAATTGCCCAGCGCATTGTTGCCAATGGAAAGGGCATCCTGGCTGCAGATGAATCTGTAGGTAAGTGTGAGAAACTGTCGTGCTGTACACTTAGAAAAAGCAACCTGACAGTCACCCTCCTTCTTAGAGTGAACATTTACACATGTGTGAGTGAGAACAGAAGTCTCAGTGAGTGTGCTAACTTCTCTGCATCTCTACTTTCACATTTTAAGTTCTGTAATCCTGTAGGCAGATTCCCAAAAGCCAAGAGAAGAGACTCGAGTCCTCCAAAAGGCCCCTGATAAGGGTTGTTTGAACTTACCCTGCAGCAAGGCCAGGAACTCTGTAACAGCTACATGGCCGTTTGCTTCTAATGAGGTCAGTATAAAGTCAGCTCAGTCAGTAAGGGCAAGAAAGACTCTGCATCTGGACTAGGGCAGAGTGTGTGACTGAGGAAATGCCATTAGGGTACAGGGAGAACTATGGCCAGCTTGCTCAACTTACCTATGACAATAAGAACTGAAGTAGACGGCTGCTGCATTCTTTCCTCCACCGCACACACAGCTTGCCTGGATCAGGAGACCTCTAAAGAGGCCCACGGGCTTTCTTCTTTCACCTGGAGCCCTGCCACCTCCTAGCCATCAGCCTGACAGCAAGCAGAGTCTTTCTTCAGAACACAAACACTAAGCAGGACTGTTACACATCTGAATTTTAAAGAAATGGTCTTACTGGTCAAGACTAAGGGCAGAGAATGGCCATAGGAGAGTCTTGACTTGGTCCTTACTTTGCCTGCGGTCTACCCTATTTAGGCACCATGGGAAATCGCCTGCAGAGGATTAAAGTAGAAAATACTGAAGAGAACCGCCGGCAGTTTCGGGAAATCCTCTTCACTGTGGACAGTTCCGTCAACAAAAGCATTGGGGGAGTGATCCTTTTCCATGAGACTCTCTACCAGAAGGACAGCCAGGGAAATCTGTTTAGAAACATCCTCAAGGAGAAGGGGATTGTAGTGGGCATCAAAGTGAGTATTCCTGTTCCTATTTCACCCTTGCCTCCTCACAGGCCCACTGTCAGGGGAGGGTCAATACTCAGCATGCCCATCATCTCATTTCTCTTTTTTCCATCATTTTCCCTTAGAGAACCAGGTGTTCTTCTAGATTTTTCTTCCAGTACTCTCATATTTGAACCAAGTTTTCTTTTTCTTTCTTACTTTTTTTTTTTTTTTTTTTTTTTT